TGCTTTCTGTTTTTGTTTGTTGTTTTCCTTTGTTTATTGCCCATGTCGGGTATGCGCAGGTCTTTAAAGCGTGTTGTATGTGTTTGTCCTCTTGTTTACGGTCTCTCTCTTCTGTTATTATGTTTGCTCGGTGATATAATGTTCTGATTACTGACATTTTGTGTATGGTGGGGTGTTCTGATGTCCATAATAAATATTGGTCTGTGTGTGTTGGTTTCCTGTATGTGTTTATGTTTAGGGTCCCGTCGGTCTGCCTGGTGATTTTCATGTCCATAAATGCTATGCTGCCTTCTGTTTCTAACTCATAAGTGAATTTTATGTTTCCCGTGTCGTCAATGTTATTCAAGTGTTGTGTTAGTGTTTCTGTTTGACCTTTTGGTATGATTTCCAGTATGTCGTCCACGTAGCGTTTCCATAGTTTTATTTTGCAGTTTGGGGGGGCGGTGGCTATGGCTTTTTGTTCCAGGTCTTCCATGAAAAACTCGCACAGGGTGGCTGATAACGGGTTACCCATGGCGAAGCCTTCCAGTTGTTTGTATATTGTGTTATCGTATGTGAAGTAAGTGGAGTTAGCTACCAGTCCTATCAGTTGTGCTATATCATCTGCTGTGAGGTTTGTCCTTTTATGTAAAGTTTTGTCTTGTCTGATTCTGTTAACTACTATGTCTATGGTTTTTTGGGTTGGTGTTTTTGTGAACAGAGATGTGACGTCATGTGAGATGAGTATGTCGTTGTCTTCTATTGTAATTTCCTTTAGTTCTTTTGCCAATTCTATACTATTTTTGCAGTGTTGGTCTGTATTTCCTAATAACGGGCTGATGATTCTGCTGATATCTTTTGCCATGCTGTATGTTGGTGTACCTATGCTGTCAACTATTGGTCTAAGTGGGGTGTTTTGTTTATGTATTTTTGGTGTTCCATATATTCTTGGTGTTATGTTTGCTGTGGGAATCCAGTGTTTGTACATTTTTTCTGTTATTTTGCCTTTTTCGTGCAGTGGCTTCAGTAATTTTTTTCATGTTTTTCTTAATGTTTTCTGTTGGATCTTTTTTAAGTATTTCATATGTATTTTTGTCTTCTAGCATCTGTTTCATCTGTTGTTTATATTTTTCTCTGTCCATAACTACAGTGGTTCTTCCTTTATCTGCCGGTAGAATAATTATCTGTTCATTTTTGGATAAAGCTGTCATGGCTGATTGTTCTTCTTTTGTAATATTGCTGTGTTGAATTTGGCTGTTTTTTAATATCCCAACTACGTTATTTCTGAGTTCTGCTTTCTTTCCCTCATCTGTGATCTGTTGACATGCTAGTTCTGTTGCTACAATAAATTCATCATATGGTATTTCTTTTGGTGTGACTGCAAAGTTTAAACCTTTCTTTAATATGCTCTCTTCTGCTTCTGTTAGTTTGTATTGTGAAATGTTACATACCCATGAGTTTGGTGTGGAGTTGCCTTGTATTTCTCCCCTCTTTTTCTTGTTTATGAGTCTGTTTAACTTCTTTATGTGTCTTTCTTTCACTTTTATGAACTCTTTTTCCTGTTTTTCCATCATGTGTCCTTTAATTAGTTCCTCCATTTGTTTATCAAGTTTGTAATTCCTTTTCAAGTCCATGTGTCCTCTTTCCAGTTCGTCCTCCACACGCCTCTGTTTGGTTATGACGTTCCTTATCCTCTCCTTGAGCAGTGCTCTCTGTGCTCTTTCTATTATATTTTGTGCTGTCTGGGTCCGGATCGATGTTTTCAGCTGTAGGCTTGTGGGTGTGATGTTTTCGTCCCGGCATCTTAAACAGAAGCGAAGGTGGTTTCTTAGACGTGCGCGTTTCTGGTGTAATCGTTCCAAACGGCGGAAGTCCTTCGTTCCTTGTTGTCCGTATTTCTCTTTGAACATCTTAGGTGTGTTCTTGCTGTGTCTTTGTAAATCCATGCTTTTGTTCTTTTTTAAACACAGAAACAGTTTTGTTTACCTGTTTGTAGCTACGGTTTCGCCGACAGCTGCCGGCTTCTTCAGGCTGACGCTGATGGTGGCGCGTCACTTCCTTCTCCGTTTATCTGCGGGCAGCAGAGGACGTTGTCGCCCTCTACTGCCCGCGCAGTAGAGGGCGACAACGTCCTCTGCTGCCCGCAGATAAACGGAGAAGGAAGTGACGCGCCACCATCAGCGTCAGCCTGAAGAAGCCGGCAGCTGTCGGCGAAACCGTAGCTACAAACAGGTAAACAAAACTGTTTCTGTGTTTAAAAAAGAACAAAAGCATGGATTTACAAAGACACAGCAAGAACACACCTAAGAGATTCCATTCTCTATCTCTGTGAACTGCTTTAAGATATTATTGTCAGTTGTGTTTGCCTTATCGTGTTTATTATTTTATTTGTTCTTCTTATTTTGCTGATTTTTGTATTGAACTTTGTATGGAATGATTCTTTGGACAAAGTTATCAGGATTGAGTTTACGATCCGCAATAGACAAACGATTGCAGCACCTGATGCTGTGTTCTCACTCCATCGAGTTGATTCTGAACCTTTCATATCTCATCATAGTGTTTGTTATTTTCATTTTTCTTGTTTGATGCTTATCATTTTTGTCTTGAGTTGCTTGATTTGTACCCTATTGGTCTTTATGACTACAGAGATGATCACCTTTCCTGGTTTTACCCTTTCCCTATTCCTTAAGTCGGGATTACTGAAGCTTTCAAAGCAAATGGTGACAAGTTTTGAGAGTGGATGAAATTTCATGCATGGTATGTATGTATCCCATAAACAGGGGGTGATATGTTATGGAAATTTTATATTTCATTGCTTTAATCCTATTCACAAATGTCCTGAAGCATTATCACACACACACACACACACACACACACACACACACACACACACACACACACACACACACACACACACACACACACACACACACACACACACACACACACACACTGGGACGTAATTTTGGGGGGGGGACGGGTGGGACATGTCCCCCCCACTTTTTCAAAAGGCAGTTTTGGTCCCCTGCACTTTTTTCCGTCCAAAAACAATGTTACGCTCCATTAAATGGATTTGGTTGAGCACTAGGACCGAAACGGAAACCGGTTTCCTATTAGACCCGCCCAAAAGCTAATCTATTGGCTCTGCTGATACTTGCTAACGTATTATTGGCTGTTGCTGCTGTCACTCAAGTTGTAAACAGTCAGAACGTGCTCACGTTGTTTTGCTAGTTTGGAGCCGCTAAGGAACACCGGTACTGAGTCACATCGTCAACTAGACGCTGTGTAATATCAGAGCTCAGCTCAACTGCTACAATTACATAACATTTGAATAAGTGTTCATTTGTGAGTCTTTGGTAGTTAGGCACAGCCAGGAGGCAGCATGTCAAGAAAACGAAAAGTGGCTATAAGAGACTTCTTTCAAAGTCAAAACGTAAGTTGGAACATGTGACAGAACTGCATTAAGCTCACTCACCTCCTCCTTCACAAACATACTCAAAACTAACTTTTACAAACTCATCTCCTCCACATAACTGACTCCTCAGACACAATTTATTCGTATTATTATAATTATTATTTTATTATTATTACTATTATCATCATAATTATTATTACTAGTAGTAGTAGTAGTAGAAGTGTAACTTCAAAACTTTTATCATTTAACTTTATTGTAAACTTATCTATTGCAATGTATATGTTCACATTAAAAAGCTCTGAAAAATGAACAGTATCATCGTCAAACGATTTTTTTAAGCTTAATGTCAAAGATGTACACTTTTCATTAGATTTATCTAATTTTTTCCATTTATTTTTTGTGTGTTGAAATGCAACAACTGTTTAAACACTTTTAAGGGAAAAAACATATTTAATATGTTTTTATACACTCAAATGTTAGGGTGATGATCATGTGTAAAACATTAGTTCAGCATGTCCTCTAACACAGCAAATGAACAAACGGCCAGATCTCAGGAGGGACCGTTTATGTATAAATAATTTTTATACTTTTGACTAGGCCTGGGAATGTAACAAATTTTGCTGGACGATATTTTGTCCAACAAATTGTTGATGATAAACGATATCATTGTCAACATTATCTAGACCAAAATAACCACTAATATAATGTTAATATATCATAATAATGCAAGTACACCCTTTAAAATGCAACAAATAAACCTTCATTTAACATTGAAATGTCCAGAACCAGAACTTCTAAATGAATAAAAATAACAAACAAAAATTAAATAAAAAAGGAATCTCACTCCCTGTTAGAAAATGTTGCACCAAAAACAATAAACACAATGGCCTATCCATTGTCAACAGCCAAAACTGCACTTCAATAATGATAATAAATAAAAATAATAATAGAGTTGTACATTTTTTAACTTATATATATATATATATATATATATATATATATATATATATATATATATATTGAGGATGGAAAAATTATTGAGATGGGCACGTGACGTGTCAAGGGGTCTTTACATAACACCCCCCACCCCAAATCCGCACAAGCCTGCTGTGTCCCCCCCACTTCTGAAATCAAAATTTCGTCCCTGCACACACACACACACACACACACACACACACACACACACACACACACACACACACACACACACACACACACACACACACACACACACACACACACACACACAGTTCTTCCCACACGGAGGGGTGAGTTTGTGTAAGCTAGCTAGCTGGGCCTTGCTTCAATATTTGTTACACCCCATTTAAAAAGTCTCTGAAATACATTAAAATAATGTAAACACAATAGTAAAAACACCATCGGGGACCGGACACGTAACTGTAATGGTGGCAGGACACCCCAGAATAGCGCGACGCCCTCTGTTGTCCTGGCGAATAATTATTTTGCAACAATCCCCAGCTGACGAAGTCTGAAAGCAAAACGTCTCTGTCAAAATGCGAGCGTCCCTCCCTCGTGGAGCTGGCGGAGAAGTATACATTAATCAGGCAGCTGGCCTGTTACAACACCCGGGACACCTAGAACTCACCAGGTTTAGAGGGCTGTCCACCACTTCCATTGAATCAGCTCTGCCGTGAGTTACCGAACAAGAAATGTGTCTGTGGTCTTCGCGGACGGTCATCCGCTCTCCGACACTAAATAATACTTATACTACAAAGACAACAAAATGAGAATCAGCGTAAACCAGGCGCAGTTGCCTTCCCTACACAAAAACGTAGTGACGCAACACCTGCTCACGTCAGATGTTGAGCGCATGCGCAACCCACGCCGCAGTTATTGAACCGGAAATGACAATTGCTGCACAGTAGGCTCAAATCGTAGATATATGAAATATATGTCTGTGCTCAAACCTGCAGTAGACACTCCAGCTTTCCACGAGACGTGAAAGCGGTCACGTAACGTCATTAGCGGCCAGCGCGAGACCAGTCGTGAGCAGCAATTCAGAAGCGAAACGGGAGTGAAAGCGTTCCACACACCCGATCCCGTGATGCCACAAAACCAAGGGAGAACCATGGAAGTCCACACACAATAATAAACAAGGAGAAAGACAGCCGCATGTATCAAAACAGGTCGGTGGTTAATTATCTGTTGTTTGCATCGGCCACGGGGGTTATATCAGGAAGTTTCACCTGCTGTTTGAAAGTTTCCGGATGTGTTTTATATTGTTGTTGTGTTTGACTTCCTGTCTGATGCAATCTAAACCCTACTGTGATGTGAACTGCGGAGTTCGACGTGTTTTGGAAGCGTAGCGGGTAAACAATAGACTCGAAACGTAATTATGATAGCATGCCATCTCTTCTGGGGCGCGTCCAAAACGTCACACTGGACTGCCAGTGGAAAGGAACGCTTCAACAATAACGGCAGCCGCGTAGTACATTTCGCGGCCGTTTCGCGACGCTTTCAGTTGTTGGCGGGAACATTTGTTGTAAATTGACTCTTTTATTTTGAAACCAGGTCGTTCATTTAAGCTGAAGTGACATCACGCATCCCCGCGTAAACACTGATGTTGATCAAAAGGAGAGGCCAGACGTGTCTGATCGCTTCCACCATGGCCTTACTGGTCCTGCTCATGATGGTTCTGTACGGAACCACCAACAGCTCTGTCCTGAAGTCGGACTACCAGCTGCTGGGCAGACCCCTTTACAAACTGGACCTGAGCTGGCCCAAGAACCCGGAACACTTCACCGGAGAGATATTCGGTGTGGCAGTGAACCAGTACACCGGTGTAGTGTATGTGGCTCAGCGAGGTAATACCTTTGTGTGGGTGCTCCAAGTGGCTGGAGTTTCTGCTTGTGACCAAACAACTTTGTTTCCCTCCAGGCTACAACATGCCGAAGGTGCTGGTGTTCAACACAGATGGAAATTTCCTCATGTCCTGGAACACGACCACCCTGGAAATGCCTCATGGGATATTTGTAGCAGATGCAGCTTCGGGAAGTCCCACCGTGTGGATCACAGATGTGGGGAATGGTCCGTATGGCCACTGCATCAAACAGTTCTCACCATCAGGGAAGCTGCTGCAGGTCAATACTTCAAGTAGGATCGAATCTCTTTAGTGCTCATCATCATATCCTGTTTAGGGTGTGTTTTTATGTGTGGTTTTCTTCCCATGGGCCAGGTGCTTGGGACACCAGGGAACGCAGGTTCTGGTTTGGATCCACTGCAGTTTGACCAGCCAGCTGAAATCTTCATCCATGAATCTGGAGAAATGTACATCGTGGATGGTGATGGTGGGATGAACAACCGCCTCATCAAGATGTCCAAAGAGCATGAGGTGTTGTGGATGCATGCAGAGAAAGGACAAGGCTTGGCTCAGTTCTACATCCCCCACAGTGTGACAGTGGATAACGCCCAAAGAGTGTGGGTGGCTGACAGGGGCAACAAAAGGATCCAGGTCTTCAACTCCATCACTGGGGACTGCCTGGGGACATGGGGGAGCTGCTTCACAGAAGATGCACCCTACTCTGTTCGCCTCACCCCAGACAAAAAATATTTTGTTGTTGTGCAGCTCAACACCAATCAGATCTCCCTGCTGGACGCACCACCGGTGGGCTTGATTGGTCAGTGCCAGGTGGTCAGTGTGATCCAGCTTGCAGACGACGTTAAGCCCCACCTGCTCGATCTAGATCTAAAAGCTGGAGCTCTGTACGTGGCTGAGATTGGAGCTCAACAGGCTCAGAAGTTTGTCCCCTTTAGTCTGGGTGGAGGTTTCCTTTAAGACCCAAGTGGGCTCCAACCAAAACATAGAGCTCAGATACTCAAAAAACATACCAAATGTTCATATGGATCATTTAATCTGTCCGGAGGTGGGACGTGGGTGGTCTGTTACGATTGACTGGCAACGTTCTTCTAACGATCTGAGTCCAAACTGATAGTTTGCTACTGGTACTCTAGTTCCTAATGAGTGAGTGAGAGAGAACTGGTCTGGTGAGCTGTCTAGGTGTTTTGACTCCAGCTGAATGCTGGGAGTCAATAACTGAGAAGCATGTGTACAGACACAAGTGGGATATGAGGTACTGTCATAGTTTCTATTCCATGGTTGTTAAAGCTTAAAGTGTCAATGTGTAGTTTTTACCGTTAATCTCAGGAAATATCCACGACGCCATATTGGATGCCACGTTTCCTTCAGCGGTAGCCAGGACAGAATGCATTTACTTATTTGTAACAAACGGTTACAAAACTTTCCGCATTACTAAGCGTTCTTTTACACATTCACGTCTTGGCTCGATGCCAGAGATGAAAGGGAATCTGACATGCTTGTTGTTTTGCTGGAGGTTGAGCTCCCAAGGATTTTTGACCCCTAATGGCGTCTGTTGGTAAGGTCTTGCTTGAACACAAAAATACAGCTTGCTTGCAATGATTCAGGTATCTACTGCCCCCTATTTCCAGGGAAAATACACACTGTCACTTCAATGCCATCATAAAGAGTTCATGCTGGAGTTTTTTAAGGAGCAGGGTTAGAAATGATCTCCCCTGGTCTTAACTTGTCAGGGTTAGGGTAGATCAGAGTCTCCAAAAGCAATACAGCTCATGTCCATCTTTGTTTATCTTATCAAGCACACCACAGACTTCCCGCGGGTCTTAAATGCTGCCCACGTGGTTGGGGATTTCCGCATTCCTGAGAACTTCTTCGAAACTGAACATAAAATATGTAAAAGACTGGACTGTCCCAGATGTGTAAGCAGCTAAAGGCAGCAAGCTGCTATTGTAACTTTAAACCACTAAAAACAATAAAACTTCAGGTCCAAATTTGTGGGGTGGGGGGTGTCTCACTAATTCCGGGTCACATGAAAATAACGTGTTTTCCCATGGGCGGGATGTTGGAATGCTAAATGGCTAAAAGCTCTGAACTTTGTATATTTCATGTGGTGTTGTTTACGGATGTGTATTGGTGAAATTATGGCGATAGGATACGTACTGCGATACTTTTTTAGAATGAATTAAATATAGGAGAATTCAATTAACAGTCCAAAATGATGTTTAACATGACGTATCTCAACCAGAGGGTGCCCAAGTCTCCCCATCAGCCTTTCCGGTGGGCTCATGGGGAAGAACGAAAAAATGAATGCAAGTCAACGGGGCTAAACACTATTTTGTAATCCGCTTTGCCTTACGCCCTGGATCACACGTGTTGCACTGCAATTTAAATGAAAAAAATTCATGGGTGTTTCAACCACGTCTGTCACGTACTTTGAGATTCATCAGCATGTAGAAGTTCATAATTAGCATGACTACACACCAGAAATCGGCACGTCGCATATGTGACGTTACCACACGATCTCCTCTCCCCTAGCGTAGCTGCTACTTACCACATGACCAGATTTACGGTGGTTCTTTCCTCCTGTGGGATGTTTGCTGAACTTACAGCCCTTGTCCCTCAGTTTTCTCCATGTCTGGCTCGATGACGTCACTTTCGTGATGCACATTTTTAGTCCTGGACTTATTTTCACACAAATCCTGAAAAAGCGTTTCCCCCGTTCAAAAATAAGCACGTTCTTGGTATCAAAAAGCTTCTTCAAAATTCACGAACATCAAATGTGACATCCATGGCACAAAACAAGCGGCGTTAGAAAATAGCTTTTTTAGCCCCGTTCACTTGCATTCATTTTTCCGGAGAGACCCATGGTGCGGAAGTAGATGGGCGTGACTTAGGCCTAGTCCACACGTAGCCGGGTTTTTTGAAAACGAATATCCGCCCCTCCAAAAACTTGCATCCACACCAACGCGTTTTAAAAACAAACTCTGTCCACACGTACCCGGATAAGTACGTTGTTAAGGACATGCCAGACCTGTAGGCGGCAGTACTTCCCCCGGTCTTAACCTCGTCCTTCGTCTGGGGTCTTCCGCGAGGAGCAGTAATTCCTCTTGCAAAAACAAACAAGCAGAAAGCGTTTGGACAATTGATGGATCGGGTAGTGACAGAGCGCAGCTCTGAAAGCTTCCGTGATGCCGGCTAGTATAAACACAGGTCGCACACGTGATGTCAGCATTTTTTTGTCGCGGAAAGTGACGTTGCGGACCTTAAAACTCCGGTTTTGTCCGTCCACACGCAGACACCCAAAACGGAGAAAACGCAGATCTTCACTTTGGCCGGAGTTTTTAAAAAGATCCGTTTTCGTGTGAAAAAACTCCGTTTTCGTGTGGATGACAGGCCAAAACGAAGAAAAATATCTACGTTTTGGCAGATCCCCGGCTACGTGTGGACAGGGCCTTAGGCTCCCTACAACTTAGAGGTATTTACATTTTAACGGTGGAAACAAAACCTTTTGCACAACTAGTGGTCGGCATTTGAATTTGCACCAAAAGAAAAGAAAATACACAAATGTTTGCATGTAAATTCTTCCAAAAGTTAGATACACAGCTTTTGAATTTCGATATAATATTGCGGGACAAAATATCATGATTTATTGCCATATTGATATTTTCTTACATCCCTAGTGTTGTTAAAGCTGCTTGGATCTAAGCTCTGATTGTGCACACACAAGTGAATGTCCTGTAACAGGAGGATTCTCAAATGTCAGAAAATATGAGGGTCTGTCAGCTGTGACCCACTTCAGCTTCATCACCAGACCTGTTGCAGTGTGCTTTGTGGGGTGCCGGTTAGCTTGTCTGTGACTGTGCAGTACCTTTGTTTGTAACATTTTCTAGTTATAAGAACGTAGTGTTTTATTAAAGTGTCTTTTCGTGTGTTTTCTGATGATGGTGAATAATCAGAACTTAATGATGTAATGGAACTTTTTGTTCTCGTGGGAGAACCCTTGCTATGTCCCTTGAAAAGTGTTAAAATCAACGTGAAATGCACATAAAATTGACAATGCATTGCCATAAAAAGTCAAGTAAGCTGTAATTAAAACACTACATGTGAAGTGATTGCTGTTAAAAATGATTTGTCTGCGTGATGTTTGGGTATTGTACTGCCACTAGGTGGCGCTATACTCACACAGGCGAGCCTCCGTCACCCACCATTTACTGTTATTACTGATCAGGTTTATGCAGCTGAAGTCATTACTGTGCACGCTCCTTAATTCACTTTAAACATAACATGTAGGTTTGTTTTTGTCTGATGGTTTCAACTTTGAAACACCTTACTCTGTGAGTGAAATGGCGGGGGCGGGAGGACTCCTGCCATCTGAGATGGAACATTTTCGTGATTTTTTTATTAGTTCTTCATTTTTATTTGTTTTGACTGTCCCACAGACAAGGGCTGCGCAGTGGTGCAGTGGTTAGAGCTGCTGCCTTGCAGCGAGAAGGTCCTGGGTTCGCTTCCCGGCCTGGGACCTTTCTGCATGGAGTTAGCATGTTCTCCCTGTGCATGCGTGGGTTCTCTCCGGGTGCTCCGGCTTCCTCCCACAGTCCAAAAACATGACTGTTAGGTTAATTGGTCTGTCTAAATTGTCCTTGGGTATGAGTGTGTGTGTGTGTGTGTGTGTGTGTGTGAGATTGTCCTGTGTGTCTCTGTGTTGCCCTGCGATGGATTGGCTCTCTGTCCAGGGTGTACCCCGCCTGATTGCCCTTTGACCGCTGGAGATAGGCACCAGCCCCCCCACCACCCCACGTGGACAAGCGTGTGGATGGATGGATGTCCCACAGACAAAACCAAACTGTACCTGAGTCCTAAAACAATCTTTTACATAAAGCAGTAAAGATTTGATGAAGCCATTCTTATTAGAGGTGAAATTAAATGTGTGAGCAGCTGTAGGAAAACTCCACCATGCTCAGTAGGGCTGGTAATAAAACCATCAGTGACTGTATAATCGTGGTAAAAGATAAATAACACTTCTGAGTCCACATCAGGATGCATAGCAGAAGGAATGGTTTATTGTATACAGCGGGATCCTGAGTGAGTGAGTGGATCAAAGGTGTGGGAGTTTGTGTGGGCTTTCTCTAAACAGAGGTAGTCTAAAGATCAGCCAACAGGCCCTTTTCCCAACTATCCAGTCCAGCTGGAGTCTCAGCAAATAGCCAACAAGGCAGAAACTTTAGTCTAACAGGACAAACAAGATGACAGCAGGAGGACAAAGAGAGTGAGAGTGAAGAAAGGAGGAAATGCGTGTGATGGGAAAGCGTGAGGTGGACTGGGATACATGTAGTGAGTGTCAGTGGGACCATCCTGGTGTGCAGAATAGGAAAACTCCTACACACACATTCCTCTGTATTATACAAAGGTCAACACATACACCTGCATCACGAGCGTGTAGGAGGTGATGCTCTCTTCCAGATCTGGAATTCAGCGGGAAAACAGGGCTCACTGAGCTCCGCTTGACAGCCCCCCATTCCCTTTAGAAAAGTATTACTGATGTTCACAAGAGAGGTTGTTTCATCCAGATGTTTCCTTAAATCTAGCAGCACAAAAATGATTTATTTCATCCTTTCATGCAACAAATTAAATGATAAATTCTCTTTAGAGATGGAAAACCAGGGGGTATTCCACGAAGCGAGTTTGGAACATTGAGGCTTCCCTGATACATCCCTGCCTTACACCTGTTCACTCAAGGATTTGTCAGTTCCACAACGATGCTTAGGTGGATTCAGTCGTCTCTAATCCAAGCAAGGAGCGGCAAGTGAGGCTCACGCGCGTCCGCTAGCAGCCCCTGTTAATCAATGCTAGATAAAGCAGAATGGAAGGAAAGGACAGAGCCTCGCTCTCTCCGACAGAGTAAGAAGGATTAATTCATGCCTATGAAGACTACAGAGATATAACTAAAATAGAGATCACCGGCTGCCTGATTAAAGCGGTGTAGCTGTCGCTGTTTAGTTAGAACGTTCGTTTTCATGTTCTGCACAGAACAGTACGCCAGACCTAGCAAGTTTTCTGGGGGAAACCCTGGTAGGTGTTTACTGACATACGAGATAGAATACTCTGTTTTGCTCCTCGACTCTCTCCTCATCCTCTCTTGAAAATGCAGATAGTTTTAAGCGGTTCTCCTCGTCCATCTAAACTTTGTGTGGGGATGTTCTCTCCATGGCAGCCTGGCTGGTTTGGGGAAATTCTGCTCCTTCCATTAAAAAAAACATGATTTCTGAAAGGGGAAAACTCCAGACAGATACTTTAAGATTCAAAATATAAAAAAATATATATATATATATATTTGGTATATATACACAATTTAAGGAATAAAAATAATTTAAAAAATGAGACGTAAGTAACGAAAGGATGTGTGTTTCATTTAAAATCAGTTTGCTCGTGCGTAGATGTCAGTGTTACTGCAGAAATAAGTTTGTTTCCACATGAAAAGTTTCAACAATACATCAAGAAAAATGTGCTCACGTGCCGTCGCCTTTTCAAAAAGAATTGAGTTTGGCCCCGACTTTGTCCCGGATTTTCTTTTTGGCCCCGTGTAAATTTCGGTTTGACACCCCTGCTGGATGATTAAACACTATTCGTGCACGTTGCTGTTCAGTGGCACCACTTGTCTACATCTCATTTGCTTAATCCACTCATCGAGAGTTCAAGAGTCACTGCTGGCCATCGTCCCAGAAACACACCCAGTCCTGCTGTACATAAAGTCTCAGTCCCCAGAGAGCAAATGATTATAATTAGTTAAGTCCAAAACTAATCTAACATTGTTAGAAAAATGACGTCCAGGTAAGAAGCCATTTAGGGATTCATGGATTATATCGTTAATTCCGTATTTTAGTCATTTGACTACTACTGATGCTAGAATTTTGTAATCGATGTTTAATAAAGTAATGCCACGCCAGTTATCTATTAAAAGGTTGTCTTTATTAGGTTTTGGGATTAGTGTTATTAAACCTTGTTTGAAAGAGTGAGGTAATTCTTCATTATTTATGGATTCATTATATACAGCCAAAAGGAGTTTTGAAGTTTCTTCAGTAAACTTTTGGTAAAATTCGCCTGTGAGGCCATCATTACCAGGAGATTTGTTTAGTTTAAGATTTTTAATTCCCCATTTTATTTCCTCGATAAGTGACGGTTCATCGCACTCTTCTCTGAGAGAGGTGTTTGCTTTTTGAGATCTTTAGTGAATTAAAAATATTGGATGAGTCAGAACATGTTTCTATTCTGTGCAAGTTAGCGTAATACTTGGATACAAATTTGGATATAATATTATAGTCTGTTTCCTGTTTTTAATTTAGTTAGGGTACATCTTTCAATATTTCTTTTTTCAATATTAAAGAAATATTTACTGTTTTTCTCTCCTTCTTCCAACCATTTTAGTCTTGATCTTACGAAGGCACCTTTAGCTTTTTCTTTATATGTCATCTAATTCAGATTGAAAGGAGTCTAACTGTAGTCATTTTTCATTGTCGGTTAAATTCAGAGTAATGTCCGATATGCATTTAGTTAAAAATTCTATTGTAATTTTTATTTTTTAGCTAAGTCCTTGCTGAGACTAATGGCATGTTTTCTAAATTCATATTTGAACAGTTTCCAATGTTTCCCAAACTCATTTGCAGCTACTGCTTGTTCCCAATATGGTTTTAAAAGTTTGTTTGTAGTTTCCATAAAGCAATTATTCTTCAATAAAGAGTTGTTAAATTTCCAATAATGAAATTGTTTTGTTTTATGCTGTTGAGATAGATTAAATTTGATAAGAATAGTTTTATGAACTGTCATAACAGTGGGACTTTTTTTTACTTCAGAGACCTGTTTAAGGCGGTTGTTGGAGACCAGCCAGAAGTCAGTTCGGGAACAGCACAATAGATCTTTATCATTCAATGTGTATTGTGTCGTTGTTGGGTTATGATGTCGCCATATGTCCATTGAGTTTAATCTTTTGCTAAAGTTGATAAGATTGTCTTCCCCATCTCTACATTTAGGATATCTTGATGGGTGTCTTTCTAGTTCTTGAGACAATACCATATTCCAATCTCCTCCCAAAATATTCTTGGCTGAAGGTATTTACAGGTAAGAGAGTTCATGACATTTTCAGTCTCATTTAATAAATAACAGTTTACAGAGTCTGAGTTATACCCGTAGACGTTTCCTAACAGGAAAATCTGTGCATGAAACTCTATTATCAAAAGTATGTAGTGACCTTTAATATCAAATTTTTATCTAATAATTTTCCATCAAATTTGTCCTTTAATATAATGAATCCAGCAGACCTACTGGATCCACGAGAAAACCAAATGTCTTTCCCCCATTGGTTTTTCCAGAATGTTTAATCCTCTAAGCAAGAATGAGTCCCTTGAAGAAAAATAAAATCAGTTTTTGCCTCTTTGCAGAACAAGAACAATGCTTTTCTTTTTACAATATTTCGCAGACCGCTGGTGTTTATCGAAATGAAAGTAAGCTCCAGAAATAAGACTTCACAATATTTCCTAAAGAGCGTCAACTGAACAAAACGACTCCTACATTAGGTATTTGACCCTTTAACCTTGTTAAATAAAACATTTTGTGTGACAGATGAATTGCTTTGGTTCTATTCAGCATAGAAATATCAATTGAACATATGTGAAGAAACATTTGGGATATACTTGCATTGTAAACATAGTCAACAACTATTTACTGTTATTGAGAGGAATATAGATTTATAACAAATCACTGTTGTGAACTCAATCCAAGTATTTCCTAAGAGCTAGGATGTGAAATACAGTCGATCAGGACCAATCCCTACGCAGTTCTTTATTTAGGATTCAGTTCAGTTTTCAGATGACAGGTGGATTTCCTTACCATTTATGAAACCTTTGACTACCACAAAGTAAGCTTTGCTCCCATCTTTGCGTGCTCTTTCGATGAGGGGCCACAGCACCACTCTCTTCTCTTTAACGTCTTTAGTCAAGTCTTCTCCAAAACAAAGCTTTATCTCGCGTAGATAAGCGTTGTTTTTCGCAGCTCTCCAGACCTCATCCCTGATGAAGCGAAAGGCGAACAGGATGATGACACTGCGGTTTTTGCCGTTTGC